GGGATGACACAGGCCGAGAGAAAAATCATTTAAAGTTTCAAGGTTGGGAATCGCCACCACGAGTCTTCTTGGTGGCGAACCGTGCGAAGGAGCAGGGGAGGATAGGGGGCCGATAGCGGACGTCGCCTTGACCAGTGAAGCGTGTACCGCGCTAACAATTGTGAGCCTGTCTTCAAGTACGCACCTGCTTAAAGGGTGAAGCTGGGGTATTCGCGGAACTTGAATAGAGAAACCGAAATACATACGAGTGGAAGCAAATTCGCCAATGGGCCTTTCGACCGAGCTCCGAGTCGGTCGCAATAGGCCACTTTCTGCGGCTTCATATGAGGTTTCCAGACACGTTGAAACTTTGAAGGTGCGTGCGATTACACCTTCTTGATGTGGAGCACAGGTGTGAAGACTGCAGGCTTGAAGAAGTCAAACGATTAGGAAATAGACATGGCTTTGCGTCATCTTGTCAGTCCTCCCGGAGATCACATAAATTAAACGATGATACAGTATGTACGTTACCTGTGAGCGCTTGTGACTGGATGGAAGGTGTCTGAGGTCGACGGAAACCAATGGATTCGAGCGAGCGGCGCGGACGGGAACAGCGACACAATAGAATCAGCGCAGGGTAGGCACCTCAGGAGTCAGCACCGAGGCTCCGAGCGAAGAGAAAAGAACATATGGCAAGTATGATGGTGAGATCAGGTAACGCATATAATTGTCAGCCCATAGAAGGCAATAGCGACGCGAAACACTGGATAGCCATCACGTACCTCTCGCGGTGTACCCATATCGCCATTGTGGGAGTAGATTCCACCGCGCAAGCAACGAGTGCTGGTATCAAGACCGCCGATTTGCGAGCAAATTCGCCATCTCCGAGCCTTATCGCACAGTCCGACGCTGCCTGTGCAACAGTCGCGTTATGAGCAAAAAAGGTAAATCAAACCCAAAACCGAGGAGCATCAATGCAAAAAGATTTTTGCTTCCGCCAAGGTTGCTCCTCGACTGTGTGATTGGCTTCAGAATAAATCTGCTTGCCTTGCTTTCCTCGTGAATGAGCGAGCAGGTACTCAAGCCTGTGTCAGCCAAAGGATTGAAGATACGTAAATCCACTCGATGCTCGCTGTTCAAATTGAATTCGAGAACCCGCAATGCAATTGTTTCGTTCCGATGAACAACTCCAGCGCGGTCCGGTCCACCCCTAGATTTTCCCGAGTTAGTTTAACAATACGCAGAATAGCAATAGCGACGCTAACCTATGGGTGGTTATATTCAACGCTAACCGGGTAGGGCCTGGTCGGAATCCTGACGGGACGCGGTATGACCTCATGAACGTGCCTCGAGACGCCAATTTCCGAGGAGCGGTGAAGATACCAACGTTGCTCAAAGCCGTTATAAGAGAACCGTTCCTACCGCGATAGGCCTCCTTGGTCGGTTAGATACGCACTGTAGTCGCAGCAGAGCGTAATGAATCATTTTAATGACTCCTTCATGCATGGCGCTGATAACCCTTTACCACATGCAGCTGGGACTCGCTCAGCTTCCGGATCCTCGAGGCGCCTTATCTCGTACCAAAGTAAGATCGGGGCTCACGGCTAGGAGTAGCTAGCGAAAGATAGCAAGTCTTTATCAGTGCTTTGTGTAAAATTGGCAGCTACGTACTTACTGAGGGCCCCTTTCACCACCAGATGCAGATGCTTAGCCTATCACAAGAGGCGCCTATGCCGTCAGCGGGCACTGACATTCATTGATAGAACATACCGTCGCTATCGTCAAAAGTCCACACCAATCTGGTAAGAGCTTCTTTTTCCTCCGGTCAACATGGACAAAGCCATTCTTGATTGACACACCTCAAAACCTGTGCAGAAGGTGCAAATGCGTGGTATTAACGTCCACCATACTTGAGAACATGAGAACCTCGTTATAACATAGGTGAGAGCGCATTTGTTTGCGATAGGTTGTGATAACGACTTACCACTTTCAGCAGGCTTCATCTTGCGTATCCACAACGGTTCTCGGGGATTCTGGGTCTCGATCGGACAACCGTTATGCCTCGCGGGAGAACGATGTACTCCTCCAAGGACCAAATATCCTCACAATCAAGTCACAGGCGCAATGGAAGATCGTCCGCATGGTGCAGTGGCAGTCACTGAGAAACAACGATTTTGGCAAGGTAGCTCCAGAGCACCAACTTGCTCTGCCGCGTTTCCCAAGTCACAGGCGTCTAGCTGTCGACCAGAGACAGCTGTTTCGAGAAAACTCAGGCCTTGACTCTGCCCTCCGCGAAAAAAGCGCCGTAGATGACGTTGTCTTGCTTGCCCCGAGCTTTCCCCACCTCCCTCGCGCGCTGAGCTACCATATAAGTCGCAGCAGTTCCCATTCCGCCCATCCTTCTTCCCGTGTCCTAACCTCGCAATAATCATGGAAAACCTAGAGGAAATTATTCCGACAAAACGCAACCATGGCAAGGCCACCGAAAATCTCGATATGATCTCAACGCACCGTTGTCTGCGTTGATCCACCCAACGATCTCAGTTGCTCCTCGTCGTTCAGGTTCGAGTCGACGACCTTGAGAAATCCAGAATAAGCGATCACCATACAGACCAGCGCAAGGTTTCCAGGCGCTCGTCGTTGGGTTTCACAAAACCGTCGAGACACGGTCGTCGCGGAGAAAAAGGGACGATCTTTCCATGGCGTCGCCACGTGGCAACGCGCTTTGATGCGAGCCTACCAAATCGAGATTTGGTTCCGCGGCATCCGTCGGCATCTCCCGTCGCGCATGGTGGTGCAACCCACACCGGTAGGGGACCACTCGCTGCTCGCAGAGCGCTGTGTGCTCGACTCGTGAGCGGATGGTGTGAATGGCGACAAGGTTCAGATAGCGCGCTACGGAGTACCTTTGAACCCGTTATCTCCCGCATTGCATGTCTCAGAATGCAATAGCCGGACGCGTCGCGTTTGCCGGTAATTGGACGCGCAATACAGCATGATTTCAAATTGTATATGACCTCCTGGCTCCCTCTCCTCCTCGTACCTTACCGCACGACATCATCAAATATCACGATCTCCCTTCCCAATGCTTTGTTCTACTTCGGGGAAAGCGACCACCAAGTCGCCAAAGCAATCGAGGGAGGCGAGTATACATATCTGGGAAGCGTCGGCGACCCTGGGACGGATCACTCAAAAAGGCTTAGAGCGCCCACAAGTGGGTGCCGACACTTCGCACACCTTTCCTCTCCAGGTTTAGTTCAATCCACAACATCACGGAATGAAATAAACTTGTAGTTGATCCCCGTCGCCTGCAGCTGAGCAACCGTCAACACCACCAACGAACGTGTGGTTTCCGACCCTGGATTTTCGGCGCCAAACTTCATTGAGGCGAAGAAGGAGGTCCGTATTGGAGGTCTAAATTCTGGGGTTGCATGAAAGTAACCTTGAGGAAAAGCAACTTGCAGTTCGAATAGAAAGCCCATTTATGCACACGACCAGCCTCGAATATATTCTCGACCCCGGCATATCCAGCCGCTGACCGCCCGCACGAGACTGTGAGGCCAAATGGCCAAGGAGCCCGCCCACTGAGAAAGCTCGGAAAAACTTTCCCCGGACGCACTTTAACTTCGTCCCTCGATCCCACTCTTCATGTGAGCCCAACAATCAACTCCAACAACTTCAGATCTCATCCACACAAATCCTGTAACACCTGACAGCCATCGATTCCACACTTCAGCCGCGACTCACAAGGTCAATCATGGAGGCAGTGAACTTTAGGTTTGTTTTCGTCGACCTCGCGAGACGATGGAATTACAGCGCGAGAAGTATTTTGAGACTCGAGAAAGCGAGGAGTTCCAAGTTGGACATACAGCATCAGGATGTCAATAGTCAAACTCTGTGAGTAGGATTAAGATCCACTCTACTTACAGAGGGATCTCGGAGTGACATGCGGGGCTGGGGCGTAGTAAACGCGGTTGAAAGCTCGACTTGTTTCAGGTCGACATGACTGGTAAATCCTGGCATGTAACTAGGTAAGAAATGACACTGGCATCTCGCTTCAAGCAGGCTCATACCACGAAAATGAACGTTGCTTGAAAAATGTGAGAGCAAGTCTATTTCGTTTGAATGGTATATACAGGCACATCATGACACCCGCAAGGCTGTATATCGTGTATGGGCCAATCATGAAGCTTGAATGAACGTTGCTCAACCAATAAGCGAACAACTTTTCCAGAGATGAATTTTATCTGCCCAATAACAGTCCAAGGTGGCGTTCTCCAGGTGACATTGACATTCGATCGCGTTGCCCCCCACATGACGAGTAAGATTTTAGTGGTGTCGCGTCCCCCGCTGGCATGAAGTCCGATCGCGTTGAATGGTGGTGGCCAGAAGCAAATTAATGAAACGAACGCGGTCTTCCGCAAACTTCGAAGTTGTTCTCTTCTTAATGAGTCACAGTTCTCCAGCGCGCACACAAAGAGATGCAGGGAAAGACGACGCGAGTCATATTGAACTCTGATAGATAGCGATACAATGAAGTGAATGAGTGTCTATGAGAGGAAACCCTAAGCTACGGCTATATACGATAATTAGACCACAGAAACCCAAAACGAAGTGCATGGAGGTGGAGGTGGATATATGTACGGAGTGACGGATGCGAGACGCTAAGGATATACAGATAGATGAGATGCTGAAAAATGCCAAAGATGCCCAAAATGAGGAGGAAAAAAGGAAGCTCTATGAGATGCAAGTTTCGAAAGCGAAGAGATAGCGACTACGAAGAAGATATGCCATAAAGAGGATGAAGCGAAGAAAATCGTTTCTTTTGAGTGATCAAAGAACCCGGAAATGAGAGTGCTGCGCACTAGGCCAGCGAGAAAAGCGCCAAATGGACCGGTAAACCCGAGAGAAAAATGCGAAATGCCCGTCGACAGTCGACCTTGAGCCCCGAGAAGGAAAGATGATGTGTAGTAGGTGGATTTTGAGGATGATGGTTTCGAATGAGGCGAATTGAGATGGATTTAAGTGGAGAATTTTTTCTGGAAAGGAGAGGTCAGCTCCTTTACTATGTGAGACAGAGCCCATTGAGACTTACTTTGCGCATCATCAATGGGGAGGATGGGTCGTATGCCTGTTGCTGCTGGCCCTGAAGAAAGGGTAAGGACGTGTCACAGCGAAACAGGAGTGGGTAGACTTACCGAGACGTTATAGCCAGGGATCATTGGAGGCTGTTGCGCCTGCTGGGGCATCGATGCCTGCTTGGACAAAGCGCGCTGCAACTGGAGAGGGGGTCAGACCTGTGGTGGAATACTGGGTAGAAACGTCGTACCTTGGCCTCGCTCTCTGCTGCCCGTTGTGCGTACATGCTTGGGTGGATTGGGAGGCTGGAGAGACTGGTGGCCTGAGGGAGGGAGTGCAGCGAAGAGGAAAGGCTGGGAAGAGAGACAATGTTTGCTTGGGAGGCCATTTGGATAGTCGGTTAGTTCCTGGCTGAGAGGACTTTGGATGGGAGGCGGTTGGCTGATTTCTCGGGGCGACGATGGCATGGATTTATAGGAAACGGATTGAGGACACACTGGTATCAACCATCTCAGATCTATCGGGGCCCAAATCGCGATCCAAGTTACCCGGCGGTTCTTTCCGGGTCTGCCTTCCTTTCCGGGATTACTGACTCCGCCCGTCTTTTTGGGGTTCTGCATCCCTGAAGGAATATTCATCGGAAGCTTTCATCACCTTGCTGCTTGTGGATTCGCCTCTATCTCATCGATGCCTGCAAGAACCTAATCCTTTGCTTGCTCAGATCAGCGTCCCAATTCGTTTTGATCTATACGTTTCCACTGCTCCACCTCCTCCTGCTGCCCACCTTCTGCATGTCTTATTACCCACCGAATATTTCCACAAATCACAAGTGTCACTTGGTCCCTGGACCGGCCAATAAACACAGCTTTGTCTTGCCCAGAGCCCTCTGAATCGCCCTGACTCCCCACCGGTAGCGCGAACGTGGACCCCGCACTGCATGTTTTACGCGGAATGGCACGACAAACGCGAAAAGCCTGTGTCCATTCCATCTGGCAGCTGGGCTTCCAGTTCCCACTTCTGCCGCCCTCGCTTTGGCCTCGCGTTGCTCACAACTCTTCGCAGAAGAGAAGCCCATGATATGGACGAGGTATACTCATTTCCCATTTGTACCAATCACCTCACTTTACAACTACCCTCGAGCCCAATCCATCCTTCAAGCCCCCGTTTCCGACACCTATTATTCGCGTGAAGAGTGGTAAAACTGTTTCAGCGATCCCACCTGCAGGTTCACGTTGAGGCCCCTTTACGGCTTCCACTTTGAACTCCGGCACAAGCTTCGTTTCTTCACGCCCTCCCTTTATTAGCCACAGAAACCCCTCCCGCACCTTTGCGGACGCTTCGACGCTCCAAGTACGTGATCGGCAAACTCGATTCGTAGGCTATTCCAACATCTATTCTGAGAAAAAACAATTTAGGTCGACCGACCGACACTCCTCGCTCTCACAACCGGTAGGCTGGTGCAATGGGCGGGAACTAGTGCCCACGCGCCTCGACTGCAATGGTTGCGACGTGATTCCAATGATTTACTTAAATAATACTTTCGAGCGGGTCGGCATCCTCAAATCACTTGACCTCACTTACGAGAAGTCATCTGACGTTTCCGACACACCGACTCGTTAGCCCCAACCAACAAACTCGGCGCTGTAACCGACTGAGCTATTGAGGCAAGGTGTATGAAGGCAGCCGTGCCTTTCCCCGGATCCTAACACGTGTGGCGTTCACCTTGCAGCGAGGCAACACGCCTTGCCCTCCTTCCCCACAGAAATTACTGCCGAATCCCTGCGTTCGATTCGCCGCCTCGTCTCACCTTTTCTTTCTCGAATTTACAAGACCATCGGATCAGCTGCCGTCGCAATGCGTCGTATAAACCTCGAAAATACGCCTTTATTCCTCGGAAATTATCTCGCAGTGATTTCTTCTGCCAAGATCCGTGGATTGTCCCTAACTACCGCTCAGACGATCCTCATCCGCGTTCAAGGAAGCCTTGCGCACTTTCTTTGGAGGAAACCGGAAGCAAGGAAACCTGAAGACTGCTGGAGAACAGCTCAGAACAACTTTATCCCGCATCATATCGAGCTTACAGCACATCGCCTGAACGCAGACTGTCGTCATATCTTCTAAGCTTGTTCTTGCCTCTTGCAGGTAACTTCTCAGAAAGCGGAATGCTCAACTTTCGGCCGGGATATAGTCATCGCTGTCAGTCGCTGCTTATTTCCTTGTTTGTCGATCTTCTTGCTTCCCAAAGACTTGCCGCGAATTGTGGGGAATAATCCTTCCGTTCCGGTGGCAGGAAAAGACCTGGAGAAATTCAAGGTACTTTGCCCCATACCTGCTGGAGAATCCCCGGACTCGGTAGATTACCTTGAGAGCTTGCCCTCTGTTGCGCGGAAAAGCTATTGGGTAGTCGATATCTCTGACGCAACTACCACGCTGCTAGTTGGATCCGAGAATTGCAAATGCAATGAAGAGTAGCTCATCGGTCTTCCAAATTGGTTCATTCCTCTTCGAAAAATCTATGCTCAGATTAGAATTGGCAACGTTAACTATTGCTATAGCTAACCTTTTCGGCGATCCACTCGTAGTCAGAATCAACCTTACCTACCTACCTACCAGAATGTTCCTTCCTCCATGGTCCTGAAGCTCATCCGACGAGTGCGAACCGGCTTGTAACCTCCGGGCTCTCGGACTTCACCTTACACGGGTCGTGTTTCGTGTTACCCCGCCGCCCAGTAGTGCCTTACCCCAGGTTGCCCCAGCCAACCGTTTTCCCGTACAGTCAACTCCGAGACGCCCATCTTTGACAACCACCTCCTCCGAGAACTCGTAGTAGTCAGGAATACGTATCACTGTATAGCCATCTCTGACTCTGAGAACTTTTCCATGATACAGTCGAGTACGCATCCCACAGCTCAAAAACGGACAATCGCACCGTGTTGTCGTTTCCGCCTTCCCGAGTATTCCACCCGTGCTCAGTCCTGGCAAGTGTGTGATGAAAGATCGTAAACTACTATCATGACAGACCAAGTGGCAAACCATTGAATACACACGTCTCTAGATATCAATTCAATTGTTCTTACTCGTCCGAAGGCTACCATGTCCGAACCTAAACCGCGCGGCTTTTGCAGGCTGACACGACAATCTTCCCAATCCGGGGAGGAGTGTGGGGTAAGGGACCACCACCCATCCCAATCAAGCGCCAAGCAACTTTATGAATTTTGGTTCCGACTGCGCAGAGGCAGGAATTTAGTTCCGTCGACGATCACATCCGTGCATGCTACTCACTAACTGCGTCTTCGAAGGACGATAAAGAGGCGAACAGCAGGTTCTGTCGAATGAATTCATCTCCCTGCCAGAATCCTGGCTCTTCGATAACCATCTATTCGTGCATACATGAAACTCTTCAAAAAGTCTATGTGGCACAATCATAAGCAAGTCGACAGTCCGTTCTCGAATACGTCGGCTCGCAGCTCATCTATTTAACCACGAAGTTGTCGAATTAGGGATTGGAATACAATGTGCGGCGTCAAATAAGACTTTCGAACTATTTCCCTTGGACACCTTCGAACCCGTTGTGCCTGCATCCATCATCCCGCCCAACTGTCGGTGCGGAACATGCGTCCAAGAAGGACGAGGCCTATCCGCCCTATCGTCCTCGGCGTGGCGGTCGGGGTAGACCTGGTCATACGAGCACAATTTGAAACCTTCATCATGTCCCGTATGTATCGCGGTCCGCTACTTCGCAAGTCACGAGCAAGAACAAACATACGTACGTGGGTACGATAGCACACCGTGCAGTCCGTAACGCTGGTTGCGGCGCATCCAGCACATGACACCGCGGGTGAGACTCAGTGCCACCGAGGGTAGGTAGCGCCCATGGTCCGTCCATCACGCCAGGCAGCAGTGGCGTGCCCAAAACCACATATCTCTGCCACAAAACACATATGCAGAAAGTACCAGCTCTAAATAAGCGTTATTACTACTCTTTTGTTGCAGAAAGATAGTGCCTTTGGTGGCGGAACAGAAAATCGTCGAGAAAATGACTCAGACATATTCGCGTTGATGAGATGGCCGAGTTTCCTCGTCGTGTGACCCCTACAGGCTGGATTGCACGAACACTGGTGGATGTCAAGGCTATCGTTGTAAAGGAGGCAGAGAAGGTCTCGTCATTAGATCTAACGACCAGGCTTCTTCGATGTCAGCAAGATTGTTAGTCTCACTGTCCTTGAACATCATATGACATCCCGTAGGCACAGCGTAAAGAGAACCCAACAATCCGGCGGCTTAACTGAATTACGCAGTAGCAACGAGAGAACGAGAAGGTCATCCAAAGGGACGTTATGGGATCACATTACCCCACCCAGACCCAGACCTCGGCGACGGTGGTCACTGGTCACGAAACATAAGTGACCCGTGGATGACAATTCCCAAAAACCCACCAAAATAACAGGTCAGACAAGATCGCGCTCGAGATTTCCTTCCCGTGTCTGACTTGTATCCTGTGGATACGGTTCAGCGTGGCCAATTGGGTAAAGATCCGTCCGTCTCTATTTGTCCTAGCAGAACCACAAGGCTGCAGGGTGTATGAAGGCGGTCACATCGAGGTTGAAGTTACCGCTCCGCCGTTCTGGGGGCGCGAAGTCCATAGTAAAGTCCGCTCATCGAGACGCTTCGAGAACGCAACGGAATAACCAATTCAGGGAACGTGTGCAGGGAAATGAGTTATGAAATTACAAGCGGAGGACAACGAGTTTAATGACGTACTCACTTCGCCGTCGCTTCAATGCAGAAAGGTAATCTTGGTACCATGTCCAAAGCTTGCTCTGAGGCAGGGAGGCAGCGTCTCTGTGAAAAATAAAAAGAGGGTCCTTCCAACGACAAGAGGAAACCTTCAAACCCGAGTAGTTCGCTAGGAAAGGTAATCACCAACTGGATGCATCCTCAACTGTGAAGGGTGAACGCTGCCTTTTCCAATTCTCAGACATAAGTACAAGACACGAGGGTTCCTGCTGATAAAAGGCATCATTATCGGAAGAGGGCGGAGAGGCGAATGTGATAGCTCACCGAATGTCTTGGTGAAGAACTCTAATTGAACAGCATCCCATGCAAATCCGGAAAGCCTATTACCTCCCCGGCGAAGACGCTCGGCGACATGCCGTGAATGCATATGTTTCATCATATACGGTCACTTGAAGCTCGCCCTTCCAGTTCCCATTGAATTGAATGCTGCCAGGAATCATGAATGTGACCAACTGTGACTGGTTGACGAGGCAGCAGTGTAACGATCATGATCATGCAACGAGGGATCCTCGGTCTCGAGTCAAACACGGCGAAGAAACTACCAAGAACAGGTTCGCCTCTCCGCAGTTGATTATATTCCATGATATTCCATGCTCATGCTCATCGCGGCGACTCACAGCATTGCAAGTCCACGAGGCTGATCGCGAAGAGTCAAGTCGGACGTGACATCCCAAAAGCACATCACGACCCCGACAAGGCAAAATTCAAATCCAGACAAACGACGGGGAACTTCCAGGAGGTGAAAACTCTATCACCGTGGGTCACAACCGGAGAATATCCCAGCAGTCGGAGAGGAGAAAAGCCATCAGGATCGTTGGAGCGTCTATGGGTGACGGTAAGTTTTCCGTCATCTCGAGTGGTTTGTCAGGGTATACTGCCGCCCTTCATAGAGAGTCCGAGGTTTCTTGAATCCTGGTGTCACGAGCAAGTCGCTCATGGTGATCGTCGTATCCAGATGCGTCGAGAACAGAGTCTTCAAACAAAGCTCCATTGGTGTCAAGGTGGAGCTCATCGCGAGAAAAAGAGGCGACAGATGGTGGTTTATGTTGCGAGAACCCTCCCAGGCAGCGCCCCAAATTTAACCTTCGTAAGACGACGGGTCGAGAGAAGCGATGAGTGTTCAATGTCCCGACCACCGGCGACTTAAATAACGCTCCCATGAACGAACTTCCTCGAGGACGCTTGAGACACTGCGCCAATAAAGTGGCAGGAGGAAAAGGATGAATCATGACGCTGAAGCAGTCTCGCAAGAAGTCGCTATCTTGGCTTTGATTGTGTCTGTTTTGACACAGGCGTTTATCTTATCTTGTCCAGATCTAGCGATGACCCAGTCTGAGGGTAGTATACACACACGATGCGCACAGGTCCCACTGCTGATAACTCCCTCTAGGTCGCCCGTCAAAAACACTCGCCTTCTCTCATCGACGCCAGGGCAAATCCAAGACAGAAGCCCCATCTCAATTGAAAGACACGTCAAAAACAGAAGGAACGTTCTCAGCTTCATAAAACCTCAGAGAACGCGTGGATGACGCACGGAGTGAGTTAGAGCAACTGGAATGACAAAGTTACCATTGACAGCATTCATTCAGTCACACCACGCATGGAACAGGAATAAATTCATTATCCTGTTTCCAAGATCTTGGGTCCGCGTCAAGCCGTTATCGGAAGATAAGCGCCTAAGAAGCAACTACCCATAGGTGGGGTTGGGCCGTCACGAATTTAGCAGACAACGTATCCATCCCCGGCTCAAGAGCGTCCGCAACGATGGACGTGTTGCACTTCGAAGAGGGTGCAAATCGAAGGGTATGAGAGGTCTTGTACAAGAAAAGATAAGCACCCATAAATCCCCGCCCCCCAAGCACAAAAGGCGCGTACAAGCAAGGAAAACTCGCTTCCTGGACGAAGTGACTGATTTAGTTGATCTTTCACTCTTTAATCACTACATATTCATGATTCCTGATGTTCATTAAACTAGGAACGAGCAGCCCGACGAAATCGCTCACCCGCCGAGCAAGGATTTACTCCACTGCCTGTACACCCTCATACTTGGGAAGGCGCCTGCAAGCTTCCTCCCAATCGACAGTGCCATTCGCCAGCTCCGCGACCATCGCTGCAACAAGATCAACGTTTCCAATTCTCTGACCCATAGTATCTCGCTCCCTGTGAGTGCAAAATCCGAAATCAGTGAATAGGTCAGGTGCTATAAACAGCACAGCGCCTCATGTCTCCCTTCTTTCCCAAAAGATGGACGGAGAGGTTGAAGACAGGCGGCACTTACCGAAGAGTTACGGTCCGGTTTTGAATAGCTGTTTGATGCCATAGTCAGATATAGCAACACCAAAGGAGGTAGAACCGGCGAATGAGTAATAGCGACGGACAGTTGAGAGTAAAGGTGGGCAAGTGATGCGTGATGAGTGATGGAGATAAAACGAGCCTGCTGCGACTCGTCCGAGAAGGAGAAAGCAAAGGGGTTTCAGCAAAAGCAGGGGAGAGCGTTAACGTACACGCGAAGTCAACCGTAATGCCAAAGGGTGTACCCAATTCGTCGTTCCGTGCATACCGCTTTCCAATGGATGCGCTGGAATCGTCAACGTATGGTACCACACCGGATTTACGCATCTTAGAAGCTAAGATACGGATTCAAAAGGAACGCGGAGATCAGCATTCAGCTCAATTAAGAAAGAATTTCGACTCACCGATCTCCTCCACGAGAGGATCGAAGTCCTCGCGTGCACTCAAAGGCACAATAAACACCTTGGTTGGAGCCACGATGGGCGGTAAAGAAAGAACCTAGGTATAGGTATTAATCATTCGCTTGCCGGACCTCCTGACAGATGGTTCACTCATACCCCCCGTTGTATGTCCTGTTTACGACACGAGAAACTGTGCTCCAGCAGACAGTATAAAATGCGACCGAAACCCAGAGCTGATTCGAGAACGTGGGGAGTGAATTGGCGGACTGTGAAGCATGAGTTAATCTTCAAAGCTCGCTGTAGGACCAACAGACATACTCGATTGCTTTCGCGTCCTCCGCACAATGCTTACGAGCTCGGATGTAAGGGTGAACTCCTTGCCATCCTCGGTCTTGACTGCAACAGATCTAAGCCGGCAGTAAATCGAAGCACTAATAGGTAATCGATTGTTGCCACGCACCCACGAGTGAGGTCGCCTTTCAGCTTAACCAACCGAGACTCATCCATTGCCTCCACCGACTTCTGGAGAATAATGGCGTCCTCTCTGTAGGTCTTCCCAAGCAGACGCCTGTTCCATGTCACCGTCTCCTTTTCTGTCACGATGGCATCCTTCAATGCCTGACGAGGAGTGCGTAAAAAGTTACTTAAAAGTAACTTAAAGTAACTTATGTCCCTGCCAAAATATGTGGTACGGGCGACCTTGAACTTATTCCCACGGTACGCGAATCTAACTTACGGTGAACTTGCCAACTTATAGTACTTAGCAACTTAGACTACGTAGGTAACTTGTTGAGAAATTGCCACTATGCCTACATAACTATTCATTGGTCCCTCCATGACCAGTATATGTCAAAGAAAGCATGTAAAGTGAAGTACACTGGTCCCAGGGGGAGACGATTTTGGGGCCTATCCATCATCGTAGAACAATACCAAAGGTTCAGTTAAAAGTAAGTATCTCAGAGGTATATACGTGATCTACATGAGAAGTTGGAAGCGATGTTGCTGGGACTACTCAGAACATACCGTAAGATTCAAACAAGGATGGAAATTTCCGGGGAGTCGAGACGGGCGCTTAGGTCTGCAGAGCGTCTGTGATTCCTAGCCCGTGGGCACGGAATTGGTGTGGGGATCCCCTCTTGCATCCTAGGGGATACTTGATGTATCCCGCATAAAGTGAGTTTCCGACTATGTACGTTTTGGCTGACGCTTTTCTATAGATTACGTCCAGGATTAAAGCGACGCTCTCCCATGGGTCTATTTTCGTTTGTGTCGGTACCTCGACGACACAACTTCGACCTCTCTAGCCTTCGTTTCCATTATCGACAACATCCCAAGGTACCGGCATCACGTCACGGACCTCGACCCGACTTCGACGATTCGCGCTCGCCAGGTTAGGGGCTCTCATGTAGTGTATCATTTTGTAGTTTAGCCCCTCTGACTCGCACGTGCCGACGCAATCTCGAACTTTGCGCTCGTCTACGGTTAATGTACGAACCTAGATAATCTCCAGGAGAGGAGGATCAGCTTAATTCCTTTCCCCCACTTTGTTGCACCCTCTTCTCCCTTCGGAGAAACATCCCTTCCACTAGTACTACTTGACCTGATCGTTCGCTGTTTTCCTTTTCTGAGTCTCCTAAATCAAACCTCTTTTTACATAATTTGGATGCTCGTGATGGCCTACGAGTTGTCAGTCTTACATGATTGTCTGCGTGGTTGCATGTATAGTCGAAAGAGACAACCTTAACTCGGAGTCAAAGGGATTCAGAAGAGGCTGCCCGTGACCCTTGGTAGCAGCACGGCTTGTTCCAACTTTCATGTAATAAAGACGGTGTACACCTCTTCCCATCGTACCAGTACTGATCCTCTGCCCACTCCCGGTTGTCCCAAACTTATGTCAATAAGTTCGTAAGTTTCTTTTCCGACTCACTCGAACTTATCACGAACTTGCCATCAACTTACGGCTTTTTTTGTATGGGCCAAGCACTTTAAGCACCTTAAGTTGCCTTAAAGGTCCGTAAGTTCTTTTAAAGTTCTTTTCGCAGGGTAACTTACGGAACTTAAGGGAGCGTAAAGTACTTTTCTAACCACCCCTGACGAGCAACCAACGGTGTACCAGTTTTGGCACTGTGAAGATCCAAGTCATACGCAGCACGGTCTGCACATCCGCCACAGAGAATCCAGCCCGTGACACTGTTGTGGATTTCAACGTCCCAGTTGTCGACCGCGTAATGAGCTGTGTTGCTCCCCATACGCTGGCGAAACCGCAGGCGATCACTGTCTATGCCAATGTTGACGAGAAATTGCCAGATCCGAGCCATGAAATACCCAAGAGCCTCGTTGGCGACGAGACCACTGCAAACGGCTTCACCAACACTCGGCCTTTTCGCTTCTTGGAGTCCCACTTCCTGCATATGTCGGTCCAGAACAGCAATCTGAACGTTTTTCACTTCCATAAATCCTGGATGACTCTTGTCGTCTGGGTCCATATAATGCTCGATCTCCGCCGCCGTGAATTCGCGAACCCGAAGCAACCCACCCCGAGGAGAGATTTCGTTATGAAAAACGCGGCCAACCAATGCGGATGCAAAGGGTAGTCGGCCATTGTTGAGCTCGAGGAGGCGGTTAAAATGGAGGAATTGGCCCTGGGCCGTCTCGGGGCGCAAATAAACCCTCTGTTGGCCAGTAGACCCGATACTGGTTTTGAACATCAAGTCAAATGGTTCGGGGGATCCGACTGCATTGTCAGTGTCAGGGTTGCGGATACGGTGCTTCTTGAGAATATCGGCAAGCTCTTGCTCCCCGTAGGAGTCAAGCTAAGAAAGCAGGGTATCAGAATGCGGATTGAAGGCCAAATGCTGCGATGAGCGCACCTCACGAAGAACACCTTCATACTCTTGGGCCATATTGTCATCCAACCCTCGTGCAGTATCCGCAGAGCCGTCTTTGCCCCCGAGTTTCAAGAATGCCTTATTGAAAGGGAAGCCTTCTCGGAAGTTCACCGGGTCGGCCAATCTGGTTTCGAGAACCTCTTTGATAAGATCTTTGGCACGGAGTACAGCTCCACTCTTCGCATCCTTCACAACCCAGTCTGTAAACTGCGCAACATGGCCAGACGTCTCCAACACCGCAGCCGGAGTCAAGATGGTCGTGTCCAACTCAAACATTCCATCATGAACAACGAAGTGCTTTCTCCATTCGGAGATGATGTTGGCCTGCAGAGCGGATCCTGAAGGCCCATAATCGTAAAGGCCAGCAACACCTGACATTGTCAAGCTTCAGAGAAAGGAATACTCCAGCCACCAATGACTCACCTCCATAGATCTCAAATGCGGGAGCGTAGAAGAACCGACGATTCAACAAAGTTTCGAACTTTGCTTTATCGAACGGGTGAGCAGACTTGTTCACCGCCGTCGACATGTTGTTGAGTATTGACGAGGAGATAGACCGACGTGTTGAGGCGGAGCATTATACGTTTTGCTTCTGGCCAATTTTGAGTCATGCACAGGTTTCCACACGTATGACTCGAGTACACTCCAGACCGGATACATAGAGCATGCGGTATTGACAACGATCCTGATGAGATCAGATTGGTTCAGCAATACATTCGCAAGCACTTCAAGTTCAACACTGACTGGGCGCTTAAATCCTGGATTTTGCTCCAGGGAAGATCTTCAGGTTCACGGCACCAACGACTAAGCTACCAAAACGAATCAGCGTTACCGAGTGGACCGTGTTTGTATCTTGAACCTGTTTCAAGAAGGGTCACTGGTCATCAATGTCCCCTTATGGATGCGCCCGCCAGCTTCTGACAAGTCGATGATACCGTTTCGCGAGGTATAAAGCAGTGGGTTATCATGAGCCTTCTGCGGATCTACGCCATCACGTCCTATGTCATAAATGTCAGTGGAACGCTGATAAAACCCCCAGGCACGCAAGCGCCGAGAAGGCGAGACGGGCGAACGAGTGATAACGGGACAGAGAGTTCACCTATAAGACGATGTCTACGGAACTTCAGGTCGGATGGACAAGTATCCAAAAGGAACCAAGTCAACAAGTTCGAAAGGGTCAAAACCGATGGCGAACTGTTCAAACAAGGTAACGTTTGAAATGGGAAGGCCAAACTCACAAGCAGAATTCCGCCCAGATCGCTCGCCGACAGAGGCGTGGGTGCCAACCAGAGACAAGGCCGCCACCTACCTACTTTGGTTAGCACCGACGCAGCAATAAGACCTGATGGGACACGTACGTCAGTATGCATGAAACAGTAAAGTGACGGGGCAGACCGAGACGCAACGCACTGGTATCTTGAACCAAGGGACTAAACTTCCCGTGTGCTCAAACAATGGGTGGCTTGGAGCAAGAGCGTGCAAAAGCAAAGACTACCGCAGGTGTGTGCTCCAGTTACGCAGCGTTGAGAGAACTCCTGACTCCATGCACGATGTCTGGCCTTCACAACGACCGATATGGCTCGATGATCCAATGACGTCTGGAGCTTGCTTGGAGGACGCCAATTGCATGGGGTGGAACCAACCAGCGATAAGATAACAGGATGTCGTCATGGCCTGATGGTCTTTCACCCAATTCGCAGTGGAATAGCCCAGGCGTAAGTTGGGCATAAGACTAGGTTCCTTATCGTGCTCATCTGCGCAGCGGCCTATCTACATCGCGAGTCAGTTATGGGATAGAGAGCGAGTCCGACACAACGCACCGATAAGCTCGCCCGTGCTCTCTCCAGTTTTAGTGACACAACTTCATCCAGAAATCAGAGCTACATCCGTGCGGTACCGCTGTCTTGCTTGGAGCCCCTACAAAGGGGATTCTTGCTCCATGATAGCACCTCGATTATTTTAGAGCCTGCTTGAGATTGGCCGCGGATAGCCTGTCCTCAATGCAACATTTGGCAGAAGTAGTGTCCATGAAAAACCTAGCAGCCCCCGACGTTCTGAGTCCAGTGTGACAGTAGCCAGCGGTGTCGAGATTTCGTTCTTGTTTTACGTCAGGGCACGCAGGCAGCCAGACAGTCCAACAGGTTTGCAGCAATGATTAATGATCCTTGACTGACAGTTCCTTCCTCGTTTGGGCATTCTACCTTGAAGAGACGAGCTCAGTGCGCGGCTGAAGTCGCCAGTAGAGCTTTGAGGAAGATGTGGTTCAGGTTTCAAAATGTCAGCGACGGGTCGCAAAGCGCGTCAACACAAAATTGATCCGACCCTTTTCAAGTCCGAGCCACCCCCGGAGCCCTAGTTCGAATCCCGCCTGGTGCAATATTTTACGGCTGCTCACTGCATTGACAGAAAAAAAGAGGTCCTATTGGATGAAGTAGAAGTGCAGACATAGTAAGAGAGGTTACAGCATAAATAAATAAACCCAAGCCCAAATAAGCAAAATCGAAGCCCCGTAACAAACAAAATCCAAGCCCATACGATAAGTCCAAACCGATCAATTACCCAAAAAATAAAAGCAGAAACCAAGCCCTCAGAAAACCCCAAAAGTCGCGCTGATAGCGGGAACACCTCTCGCAACCCAGTCCTCGGGATCAATGCGATCCTGGTGCGAAGAAGAGAACAATAAGTTATTCTCAGGATGGAAAGCCCATTTCCTTGGATCTGGGGGAGGTGCGGACGTGATAGCCTTCAGTTCATTGCCTGGTACAGTACCATCAGAGAGATAGTTAGATGATTAAATAACGATTTAGCTCGCTTACGGATGATGTTCGAAGTGAAGTGATCCAGATTCTACCCAGGGACGTCAGTGAACGCTGTCAGAGCACTCGACGGGCACTGACCAAGTCATTCTTGTCGTAACCAAAGGGATCTGGAATCTCGTGTCAACTGTTGCACTTTAGGCAAAGAGGGGAGGGTCCTTACTCTCGATCTCCTCTCCAGCCACAAGAAAACCAAAGAAGATAAAGCTCTGGGAATGTGTTAGTTGCATTCAAGGAACTACATATCCTTCTTTCTTACCGCAATCGTTGTAGCTGGAATGGTGATCCATTGGAGAGGCTTCCAGATCTGAAAGGGCTGCAAAGGTTGTGATATCAATCCACGACCTAGGTCAAGCGAGGCTACTACACACCAGTGTGAGGCAGTAAATGATTGTGGTAACCCACAAATGGATAGAGTAGCTGAAAATAAATTGTCAGTAGCGATCCGGGCAGCCGACAGTCTGCATCGATCGGGACTCACGAGAAAGGAACAGGCGTTGTAAGGATACGCTCTAGCCCGGTCAAGCTGTCGACCAGCAGAGTCAAGTTGGAATGGAAATTGGCTGGTGAGAAATGAACGTCTGAGCGACTCCTCTAAGCATGTCAGGGATACGTACTATACGTAGGAACGTCACAGATCTTGCGCCTCTGAATAGCCGCGATATAAGAACTCTGCGAGAGAATTCAAGAATGAGCAAGAAGAGAGGGGAACACTCATAAAATGAACGCACCAAATACAAGGAAATCTCCAACGGCAAGTTCTGCGAAATAAGCTTATTGCGCATCTTTGCCCTAATCCTGGCCGCCTTCTTGCCTTTGACCTCCCGCCCACGTCTATTGCATAATTCGATCAACAGCGAGAAAGGGAACAGATCGAAGATGGTGTATCTTGGAGGCATCGAAGACGGAAATAGATAAGCCTCTTCATCTGCAGGCAGTACAGTCCTCAACTTGTCGGGCACCCGGAAACTGACATGGGAATTCGGAGATTTGACCGAGGTGCTCAGCAACGACCTGCGATTTCGTGCCTTGGAAGATGGCGAGACCGGACTTGGGGCATGAGCAGGGAGAGGTAACGTCGTAGCATGCCTGTCAACGCCAGTACTGGAAGGGCCACCGGCAGTACCGTTGCCTTTCTCATTGCTGAGGTCGTCCTCATCACTATCGTTGCGAGGCGAAGCCGGGTCCAAGTCGATTTGCGTGAGATCGACTTGCGACTCTGACGGGCGACCAGCGGGAAGGGCGTAGGCTGGAAGGAACTTGACAAGGTGGTACAGGTCTCTACGGGGACACATCAGTTGAATCACTTGTAGGTCATCAATGTGGACATGGCGAACGTACTGGTAGTAGATGCCATCTTCAGCTCTCAGGTAATGTTTGGTGGCAACAGCGAATGCCTCCAACAAATTGATGACAGTTTTCTTCTCTACTAGGGCCCTTGCCCTCAGTTCTTCAGTCTCTTCCGGGGTGGCGCCAACCTCATCTACAGTACGATGCCAACGGACATCAGTGCTGCTCGCAACGTAGGCGTCGTGTCCAGATTTACCAGGAACATGGAACCAAGTCAACCTCGCAAAGTTCCTACAGGCCAGAATAATGCTCGACCATAGTCGCCTTCCCTCGTTGTAGCGCTCGAATGAGGCAGTTGTCCTATACGAGATGACGAAACCAAGAACTGTACCAAGCCTAGGAAACAGGGGGTCGATCAATCGCTTCAACCTCGGAATGAATATTTGCTTCCGTTAGACTTACACAGTGAGCAAGGTGGTTTCAATGAAGAGCGCGTGGCCTTGATGGTTGAGAACGGTGATTAGAGTGGACCAAGCGCCGAAAAACAGGAGGATGTGCCAGCATCTGAAGAGCGCCGTCGCGAGCACAGCGTGGACGAACGACGAGCCGGGTCTCTCCCTTGGCGCAAACCTAGTGGGGATGCCAGGCCGTTAGCCGAGACGCGCCCAGAGAAATGAGGGAAGACGCACGGGTCAGGGACGCGGAAGCCTCTATGGGAAAACGTATCGCTCCTCTGCCCAGCAGAACACATCCGAGTCGAAGGTCAGCCAAACCTCGATTTTTGCCCACTAATAATGCACGTACCGATAAAGGAGACAAGGGCGGCGCCTCACGATTCGGACCGCTCATGAATAGACTATGTGGAAGAGAATTCGAAGTCGCGGGTGTCCAGTGAATACGCAGCGGACAAGGAGCGCAGGGACCCGCCCAAGATGAATTCAGCGCTGGAATTTGAGGCTGTGGGGGCTGCAAACGCCGTACTCCCCGTTAATAGCACTAGCCATCAAGACCATCATCCTTATCGCCGTTTCGAAGCTCCAAGTGTGCTTCTCGAGAAAGTGATCCGTCGTCCAACGCCCCGTCGCCCGCCCCGCCCCGAAGCGCTCAGCCAGCAATCAAAGTTAAGAGTGGTGCCCATTTAGACAGCTCTGTCCAAATGCATTCCTCCTCAACATTGTTTGAAGACGATCATGATAACCATCTGAACCTATGCCAATCGCGGTCAATGGAAATCTTTCCATTCTGCCAGGTTTAAATTTTGTCCCAATTAAAGATGTTTTCAAGCACTGTAGGCTTACTTTACAGAACGTAAGGTACGAGCAATATAAGTAGCTAGATGACCAAAAGGTATAAAAACTCAATAAAGTTTAAAGGAAGGTCGTTCAGTGTAACATGGGTGAAGTAAATGGTCGAAGAGAGCGCGATTGAGGTACGAAATACATCCAATGTCCTAGAAATGCGGAAGATGCGAAAAAGAGAGCGTGCGGTAGCTTTGTGTCGTTGTTGAGGCCGGGTGGAAATGTGATGACGGGTTGTGTTTGCGGTATTGGAGTTGAGGGAAAAGGATGGGACGGAGAGAGGGGTGTGATGGTGGTGACGGGAGGGGAAGGTTGGCGGTCGAAGGCGATCACCAGGAGGGAGGCCTCATCTGGGGTTCGGGTTCGCGCCTCCAAGAAGGGGCCTTGTACTGAGGTTCCGGATCGCGTCGCCAGGAAGGAGCTTTGTACTGGGGTTCGGGCTCAGGTTCGCGGCGCCAGGAAGGAGCCTTGTATTGCGGTTCGGGCTCAGGTTCGCGGCGCCAGGAAGGAGCCTTGTATTGCGGTTCGGGCTCAGGCTCGCGGCGCCAGGCAGGAGGCCTGCTTTGAGGCTCGGGTTCGCGTCTCCATGAGGGTGCTTTGTATTGAGGTTCGGGCTCGGGTTCGGGCTCCCGTCGCCAGGAAGGGGGCCTGCTTTGAGGTTCCGGGTCTCTTCTCCAGGAAGGGGGCCTCATTTGAGGTTCACGTGCAACGACTCCTGCCACAGGGGCGACCTGCAGGGAAACAGTCAGTAATGGGCAAGTCAGAATCGGTGAAGCAATTTTGCGTACGGGATCGACCTCAGGCTAAGGGGTAGGAAAACCAAAGTTAGGAAACCGTGTTAGCTGTCAAATTAGAGAGAGCTACTCACTGTAGGCAAGGCGCTAACGACACTCAGTACCGAAACGAAGAATAGGGCTGCACTTGCAATCCGCATCGTGAGGACAACAGTGAGGGGGAGGTATCAGCAGGGGGGAGGGGAATGATGGTAACTTGAACGACACAAGTGGGAACTTTATATAGTCGTTTTTCACGGGCAAGGGAGGCGTTACCTCATTGGTCTCTTTTGCATATTCCGTGTCTTGGCGGTACCTGAGATTACCAAACGCCGGTGGTCCCCTGTTGACCACAATACACTTTGTTACTGGGTCGCTACCAGGGCGACACCTTCTCCAATACCTGGTCATAAAAGCTCTCCGTAGGTTCCCCCCTCGATTGTTTGCGACTACTGGGGTAGATACGGGAACGAGGTGACAAAAGGGCAAGTGGAGCGGACGGTGGGAAACTTTTAACATTGGAGATACGCCCTGCCAAGACTTACCATGAATGATCTGAGGATCCCAGCCTATCCAGCCCAGCCTTTTGCATTTCTTCACCTTTCCTCTGCTTTTCGTGTAATTTATTATCGGTAAACAAGAAGCAGAAGCCTTGGAAGGGAGCCCCTGGCGAAGGGGTGAATAAACATGCATACATGACATAAAATGGACCAACAATCTGTAAGTACATGCCGCATCGATACGTCTATTCAGAACAGACAGCACGATGCCGCGCCCTGGACAATTACATAGATGAAGACGTTCTATTCAATCCATTTAAAGCCTATGTAAACGGCCCAGGCACGAAACCGACAATAAATGTTGCCACCAACGCACTCGTCATGGCCGGCAAGTAACTTGGTAAGCGACAGATTTTGGTCGGACCTTGACAAGCACGAACGATTTATGTGTATCGACTTCGTCATTCGCGAACGGTCAACTGTTTCTTGTCCGAGCACCTTCACCTTGGATACGGTGGAGTAGACCTTTTCTACCCGGAGGAATTGAATAGCCGCTCGAGGATGGCGGATCCAGCCACCACTCGACTCTGACAGCGTTTTCAGCCGAGCGGCGGTATTCCCAGTCCTCTCCGAGCCAAAGATAGCAAAAGATGAAAATTCCAACCTTCACTCAATTTTACCGGACACCAATGTCTCTTGACCCCCTGCCTACATGGAAAGCGAGACAGATGTCCGTACTCGTTGTCAGTGGCGGTCTGTCGTCCAAGACGCCGATTGCGGACGCCGACCGGGACCAAGGAAACGAAGCATTTCACCTATGGCCATCGAATTGGGTCGCAATGGCTACCATGCTTCAGTCCACGAAAACGTTGTGAAAACGTGCCTCGTATTGTGTGCTGGTGAGCATCATGTGCGAGACAATAATCAGGTTACCCCTGCCCACTGGACCATCGAGTTCCAGAGGTCGCAAAGGGGGACGCGAGCCTAAACTTGAAGAGGGAGACTTGGAGCAGATATGTAACATTTCGTCTAAGTCCGAGTCAGTGTCGGGCTCAAGCTATCACCTGAATCAGCTGCTCGGCCTGGTGTGTGCGAGCAGAGCAGATAGCGGGTAGTGGCATATTAGCCATACCTGCAACTTAAACAATTGTAAGCGACCTGAAGTCCCTGGCTTTTAAACTTTCGTCTCCGGTCAAAATTCGATTTTGGATCGACGGAAAGTGTCAATCAGGCTTGGGAGCAAAGTAGGGAGAGCTCCGCTTTAATGGCGAAAAGTCCCATGTCGACGCCCTGCTATATAACGCGGGCTGTCATCTGGCAAATCCGTTGCCCGAGGAATTGACTGGAATTGAAGACATTTGATCCAACTTGATAAGAAACTATACCCAAGGGGAGATGTTTTAGCGCAAGACGCTGTTGGCATCCTTTCTTTAACGGTCAACCAAGCGATGGAATAACGAAAATAAATATGCCCTCCTGTGGTGCTAGACAGGCCTTGAAGGCGTACCAGTGAGAACAAGGCTAAATCCTGAGGTAATTACACTTACCAATATCCTACTCACGGTTGACTGGCTCTGAGAACCAGTGTTGAACAGCGTTGAGAAATAATTCCTCACTGGGGATCCCAGTAGATTCCAGGGTGTTTGGAAGAGGACCTAGTACTTGGTGCACAGTGAAAGCATATGCGCTCCGAATGCGCGCTGTCCAACTGTATCCAGATAAGCTGCCAGTAAGGATGTGCCTGTCATAAGCTGCTCAGGTGAGCGATCTCGTGGAGGCTGCGGAAATATGCCAAGGTCCGGTGAAGAAAACATTGTCTATCTATAGCGACTGACGCGAAGAATTGTCCTACATAGCAGCATTTAGTCATTGGTCGAGGTTATCGGGGTTCCATGGTCAAATTAGTAGGTTTCAGCTTTGCGGCCGCTTCAAGTTCGCGGTGCACGACCGCGATCTCCTATGTAGGCGGTCCCAGAGCACTCGATATCGCTGGCGTCGAAAATGCCAGGATATATCATGAATTAAGGGTCGATCTTGGGTCGATCGTTCAGATTTTGTGGTCGTTTGATGCAATGGTCGCCTGGATTCAGAGTCAGGGTCGCTGATTAGTCGTATCAGAAGTCCCGCTGAGCTAAAGTATCTGCTCCCTTCGGTGGTGGTTTTGCATAGCTTTAGTATAGGAAAGGTGACGAAGGCGGAAGCAAGTGAGAGCATTTTGTTCGGCCTGGTGCCGACGGAAAGTCACACAAGTGTGATTTACTGATCGCCGATCGGCATCAGTGAAATGACACCAGCGAGAAACCACCCAACTTCATCAAATGCGACGACTTCAAGCCAATGGGCGGAAGGTACCATAGAACTCCAAGGGAAAGAACAGCATCTGTATCGCGCAGGGGGCAGTGGACGGCCCTCTCAGTAGGGGGCTTGGCTTTCCGCGACCTCCCGTTGAAGGGGCATCCAGGTTTGATCCAGAATATTTGTTATTACGCTGAGCTTTCAAAGAGTGGCCTCGTTCCAGCACCATTGGTAAAGCGACGGAATCGGAGTTCCTGGCTGTCCAACCCCAGACTGGGGCGATGGAAGGATAACAGCATGACGATGGTCAGAAGGGGAATCCGTGTGTCACGATGCATGCTTGCCGCCGGCCTACTCTAAATTAGCACTGTATGCGGTCCTTCTTTTTTCTCCATGTAGGCCCTCTTCTTACGAAACGACGCAGGCGTGTGACTTGGCCAGGGCTATGCCCATGTATCATGAATTGGAGACTCCCAGCCCAGCAAACTGGCGATTGTCACTGATTCTCCCTCTGACGCTCCTCCCCCTAACCTCAGACCGCTATCAAAACGCCAGATAGCCCAGGTGAACCACCAGGTCCTCTGCTCTTCGAGAATGCAGCCCACGTTTGAAATACCACTCGAACCACCGGTACTCCACATTGACATTTCAGAAGATCTGTCACGGACTCAAATCCATGTGCCATTAACCTTTCTACTTCATAGATCGCCATCGTGTAAACACATAGGCTTCCGTCGACCTCTGTCAAACTGTTATCTCTGCGCAATCGATAATGGCTCCAAGATCGACCGCTCTTTCGGCCACCCCCACTCTCTACATTCGTCATGGAACGTCCACAATACCAACACGTTCTTTCGGGGTAGCAATTCATTCCCATCCTCAGGTGCTCTCTTGTTTCCATCAAGCGGACCAACTTGGGATAAATTCTGTGCATATATTAACCCTTCTGGTATACTGATCCTCCTCTCAGCACCTTGTCTCCCCATCCCCCAACCAAGCCTTCGCTCAACATGGGACAAACCTACGCTGAAATCCCAGAATATCTCACCGAATGGATCCTGAAACAACATATGTTCTGGGTCGCATCTGCACCTCTTTCTACAGATGGGCATATCAACATTTCCCCTAAAGGCGTTGCCAACACCTTCCATGTCATCAGTCCGACCAAAGTCTGGTACGAAGACCTAAGTGGATCGGGTGCGTCTTACGCGCTTTGCGCCCACAACTAATTTTCACCGCCGCCCAGGTGCAGAGACGATCGCCCACATTCGCGAAAACGGCCGGATTACAGTCTTGTTCAACGCATTCGAGGGTCCTCCTCGAATTGCTAGACTGTATGGAAGGGGTACGTGCTCATGACCTGCGCTCGTTCGATGTGTTGTTCACTTGGTGGTTCTCTACAGGTTCGTACCATGAATTTGGAACGGCTGAATACAACAAGCTTCTTCCGCCTGGAACACGACAACCCGGATCTCGTGCCGCTATTATTGTCGACGTGTGGAAAGTTTCCACAGTGAGTCTTCTTTTCACGGATCCATATCAAGCTGGCGCTAACTACTTTCAATCTAACTTTCCTCCTTAGACCTGTGGTTATTCGGTACCCTACTACTCTTTCGTCGGCCATCGAGTCCGCCTACTTGATTGGGCTGCCAAAAGGGAGAAACTGGACCACGAAAAGACCACTCACTCTGTGGTGAAGGAGGCAACAGCGCCCAACCCACTCGAGCCTTCCGAAGTCAGGGGCGCGAGTCCCTTACCTCCAGTGCCCATCGAGGCCCACCCCAACGGGATGGTTTCATGGTGGAGAAACCGAAACGTCTATAGCCTTGACGGTTTACCGGCACTATCCCTCGCTTTTCGATCCACACACGGTGTAGGTTCCCATAAACCTGTACCCAAGGGTACATCCCGCTCGGGGCAGGGCCATGGCTCATCTTCGAAGGCCAATCCTGGGAATACCTCCCGAACGACCTCGGACATTGGCACATCTGCGAGTCACCAGACCACCCTCGACAACTCGGGCATTACATGGAGGTGGATCATTTGGCTCTCGATAACGGTGCTCCTCGATGCACCGTCGCTACTGGCCCGTTATGTGCCCCTTTGCATCGCTCCTTTCCGTCGACCTTCCCTGCCTGACAGCTCCCGCCAAGATAGCGAACTTAGCCTCGCTGCAAAGAAATCCAGATGGGATAAGAATTCCACCGAAGAAAAAGAGAGAGGACCGTCGGGCTGGAACGAAGGCATTCTTGGAGTGAACCTGTCACTCCTCGGACATCTATTCTCCTTCCTTCTTGGAGCGATGCTCATGGCTTTCTTCAATTATTTTTCGCGTGTTGAATTCCGTGCCCTGGCCTCAGAGTAACTCTGAGTACAGTGCTTTGTCGTAGCCAACTAAGTTTCCATCTTCTTGTATAACAGTAGCATCCCATTTAACTATCTGGTCCTTTCGCATATCTGAGGGATGTCACCAGAGGTTGGCCTTGCTCGTCGCGTCGAAATAATGAATAGCCTCTTGAGCGGTCATCTGCACATATTCACCGTCGGACGGATAAAATCATGCGAAGTGCGAGGTAGCCCCGCCTCGATCGCTGGTATCTACTCCGAAGCCACTTCTCCCTCATAGATGGAAGTCGCATTGCTGTCCTTTCCCTCACTCATCTGTTGCTCACCAATGGACGATCAGTGATGATCACAACTCGTGGCTTGGCTACTTGCATCTCCGTCTGGTTCGGCCTTTCGAGGGATGTAAGCATCCACAGACAGCTCCTTATTATTGGACAGCGATCATCTGCATGAACATCAGCTTTCTTTGAGATCTACTCCAACTTCAGTCCCCCGCCAACCGATTTCGTCAGTGCTTATTTTTTCCGTCAATGTGTCTTGGCAGCCTTGAACCGGCGCATTGCCTACACAATCGACTTGGCCTCTTGATTTTAGGTATTAAGCCATGCCTTGGTTAAAGACGCCTGCTACAGTCCCTACAGACGCACTCCAGATGCTTGAAATTAAGATTCTCTCCTGATAAAGTTGGCACTCCGGCTACAACTGCCTGTTGTGCCCCTCTTTCATCCCCCTCCCAGGTCCCTGTTCACTCATCGGCGAGAACGGACTCGCGGTGCCTTCCAGTGGGGTTAGTCAATCCGGTTCCTGGCTAACTTTGGCGCCATAGATCAGTGGCACTGTTGAGTCTTATTTTGCGATCCACGACGATAATGTCTCGCTATACGTGTCAAATTCTCATGTCTTTTTTTCAGTGTCGACGCGTTCGGCGCCTAGAGCTATTCACGGGCGCTCCGCGATGACATTGGACCCACGTTCCAGCGCGACTTCATGTTAGTCGGTTCCTGGATGCTCTCAGATGGCGTGACTTGATTGGGGCTACTCTTCACTCATTTAACCCAGGCACGTCTCTTTTGAGGCATGGAAGGCAGGGCGCCTACTAGAATAACCATTGGTTCTGCGGTTCAATGTCGGGCATAAAGTAAATGAACACCTGGCGGGGATTCACAGAAAGAGATTAGGAAACTCCGCACTTAAGGCTCAGACGTCCTAGTCTGAATTGACACCCGTCGATAAGCGGTCCGACACACGGTATATTGAAGAGGGCCACCTCTAGTACTAAGTCCGAGTCGGTAAGGTCTGTCTGTGGCACCGGCCGCTGCTGTGACAGACTTGACAGTCACCTGGGGCCTACGGTTCCTACGCACGCCAACACCACGGGTCGAGCGCAAACCGATGGCGAACAAGGGCAACTCCCTAGAGGCTTGAAAGATCCGCAGAACTTGACGAACCCAATTGGAATGCCGGAATGCGCCTAAGGCTGCAATCGATGAAGACCGACGCGAAAGAGGTAGTCAAGTTTCCTCTGTTCCTGAAGTACCCATACACGCCCTTTATAGCTCCCAGAGTGACGGTCCAGGGTAACTCGACCAGTAAGCTTTCCAGCAGTTCAGGGCTGCATTTTCCGAGAAAGGCATTTCGTCAACGTTTAAACTCCGCCGGGAAGGATGACAATTCCGTTTTCAGTCTTTCTTTCCGCCACTTGTTTTCGACATTCTCATCCCATTGATCTCACTTCGTTACCCACAAGGGATGATAAGGATCCAGACGCCAGCTTTTGGGACGATGGGGAGCGATATGGTCGGCCGAGTCTATCTTCCTGCTGGAGAATCCTGCTCAATTACTCTCATCCTTCACAGTCTTGACTCGTGTCGGCAATTCTCTAAGTCTTTCAGCGGATCTGGATTGCAGCGTGTCGCGATCGATTTGAGCCAAGGCCCCTTGAACTTCCACCCAAGGTGAGTTTCACACTTTTACAAGCCCCAGTAACGGCTTACGTCCACCATGCTTGATGTACTGAACGGACATAATAGGCTCGCGGTGAGACGCCAATAATCATATTTTACACGCTTCTTTCAAAAACTGGAGTGATCCTGATCCAATTCTAATTGGAAATCTAACAGTCTTGCCTGTCTGAAATTAAACTTGCATAACCCCGCCGTTGAAAACCTAGGTTTCGTGGGACAGTTGTGCTGCATCGTTCCTCTTGTCTTCTCCTCTCCTACACCTCCAGCTCCCAGTTTCGGCTTGCTTTGCCAGTCAGATGTCAAAAGGTTTCCCCCCCATCCACGGTATACGCTGGTTCAATGTGGCGGTACTCACAGCAACACCCTTCCTGGCTCTCTACGGACTCCTCGCGACACCTCATTACAATCGGGCAACCATTGCCTTCGCCGTCGTGTATTACATCTTCACCATGCTCGGTATGTCCCTTCTTTCAAGCTCTAAATTCTCCTTTCTCTTACTCACAAATCATAGGTATCACCGCAGGTAACGCCTCACGCTTCCCGTCTGGACCTCTTAACGCCTAATCAAAGGCTCAGGCTATCACAGATTGTGGTCGCATCGATCCTATAACGCGTCTCGCCCACTCCAGCTATTCCTAATCGCTGGAGGTAGCAGCGCCGTTCAAGGTTCCTGCTATTGGTGGGCCCGAACGCACCGTTCTCATCACCGCTACACCGACACTGACCAGGATCCCTACGACTCAAAACGAGGCTTACTATGGACCCACATAGGTTGGATGATTTTCAAATCCAACCTTCGATCTGGGCCTGCAGACGCGTCGGATCTCCAGAAGGATTCCCTAATCCAATTCCAACACCGCCATTACTTCCTTCTAGCAGTTATTTTTGGCATCATCTGTCCGGCTATTATACCTGGCGTGTTCTGGGGCGATTGGTCCGGCGGCATATACTTTTCTGCAACCCTTCGATTGACTATTGCACATCACGTCAGTTCGCCATCCACTTCTCTCTCCGTGTTTTTACTGACGCGACAATGTTTCTTCTTCTTCGACCCCACATTGTGTTCCGCAGAGTACCTTCTGTATAAATTCGGTAGCTCATTGGCTTGGATCATCACCTTATGATGACGAGCTCTCGCCCCGAGACCACCTCTTGTCCGCCATCCTCACCATGGGCGAAGGTTATCACAACTTCCACCACCAATTCCCGATGGACTATCGCAACGCTTTCCATTGGTACCAATACGACCCCACCAAATGGTTCATCGCATTGTGTGCCATGCTCGGCCTCGCTTCACACCTACGTGTCTTTCCCGAAAACGAAATTCGAAAAGGCATGTACACTATGAAGCTAAAAGAGCTGAAGCAAATGCAGGACACCATCCGCTGGGCACCGCGAGCAGCGTCATTGCCTGTCGTTACCTGGGAGCAGTGTGAGTGCGCTTGAAGCGCTTAAATTTCTGACCGTACTCACTCAGATTTTCGCAAGTCCAACAGGAATCGCGAGCTGGAGACCGAATATTGGTCCTAATCAGTGGATTCATTCACGATGTCACTTCATTCGTCGATCTCCATCCAGGTGGAAGGCGGCTCATCGTCAGCAGCTCGGGAAAGGACATGTCTTCAGCCTTCTTCGGAGGGGTGTATTCGCATTCCAACGCAGCTCATAATGTAGGTCCGCCCTTTCTTCAGAGTAGCTCAAGCTGAGCATCTGTACAGCTGTTATCCATGTACCGCGTCGGCGTCCTGCTCGGAGGTATGGAGACAATTTCCGAGCCATCCAAGGCTATCCCACCTTCTGAACGCCTCGTCATCGCAAGAAAAGATGCAGACGAAGTCGAAAGGAAAGAACAAAAATCCTATTAAAACGAGGGTAATGTTGACTAGGCCCAGGAGGTGCCACTTGATCAAGCTGAGGAGAATCGCCTGTCGATAGATTCGATCCAGGTTCAAGTCTAGACATACAGGAACCGCCGTTTGACGGAGATGAGGTATCGCACGTAGCCAAATACACCCATAGAGACAATAAGTAGGAACTAGACCACGGATAATGAATTAATACCGCACTTTTCACTCTTTCATAAAGGAGATAGAAGGTCACTCACCGCGAAGAACCCAACAGGGCGCGCCCACACCCACTTGTTTGACAACAAAGCCGCTTGCGCCGAACCAGTCAAGAAGCATCCCAAGCTGCCGACAGTAAGGGCAAATCCAGTGCGATGCCTTCCAAGAAAATCGATGGTCAAAAACCAATCAACACTGGGACTAATACGGCGAACATACCCCAATTCTGTCGGACGAATAGCAAGAGAAGACAGGGCCGAGATGAGTAGCGATAACCCTACATGAAAAAAGGTTAACTTTGCTATCACATTCAACGAAGAAGCGGCAAACTCACAAGCACCAGAGCCAAAACCATAGATGATCGAGATAAAGACCACAGCGGCAACGTTTTTCCTGGATGGTCTAATCAATAGAATCCTTCCGAACGGGTGACAAGCACACATACAGGACAAGAACAAGGCAGGTCGTCAACATGACCACAAACGTCATCGATAGCAACATGTTCCAAGGACCAAACTTGTCTGCTACGAAGCCCATGACGACCCGTCCGGCCATCCCTCCCAACGCGATGAGTGCCAGAGAGTAGAACGCCAGATGTGGGTTCAAGTCATGCCGCACAGCGAACTCTTCGATGTAGTACTCTGTCGCCTTTCAGTCAGAGGCGCTAGAATGCTTTAGTGCATAGGAGCACGTACGAGGGAACCACATTGTGAGGAAAACGAGGAATATACTGCCAAAGGAGTGAGTTCATAAAGGAGACGAGTCCAGGCGACAGTAGACATACCCTCCACAGGCAGCTGCATATGGTATCTCCTTGATGTATCCTAAAAGGTCAATAGGTGGGAACCTCGGCGTCCACTTCTTTGGAGGGGTCGCAATCAAGCAGTTCGCAAGTACCAGGAAGACGACGACCATATAACCAGTTGCCCGAACAGCACCATTGAAGCCCTTCGGCGGAAGAAGCTTGCTATAAAGCACTTTAATGACCCAGTGAGGCATAAGGTCCCGGACCACTCACTCTAACACTAAACGAAAGTCAGTCGCGGCTAGCAGTATCGAAGGCAAAAACAGCGTACTTATGGGATAGATCATGGCACCGAAGGAGGAGCCGCTCATAACAATGCCAGTCATCAGGCCTTTGCGCTCGGGGAAGTGGAGTTGAACGATCAGGGCGCTAGGCAAGAATACGAGACCCAGGCCGATTCCCATGAAGAGACCTTGCACCAAGAATAGCTGAAGTTTGGGGATGAGACGCGTCGTGGGGGACGGATATATGGAAACCATACCTGGATGTACTTGGTGGGGTCGACCAGTGACAATGTGAAGACGCTGGTCTCTTGATTAGCCATTCATCCTCATACAGGCAGGATAGTAAGCGCACCCCATCCCAAAAATCAGTGATCCAATCATCAGTGTGGAGTGAATCCAACCAGCGTCAAAGAGCTTGCCAGACACAAGTCCGAGCGCGAAAGTAAGCATGAGTTGGAGACTTCCAATCCATCTAAGCCGCAGATTGTTGTGAGCGTTTGCCTAGCATATGTTTACGGATAAACTCACGAGACTCGGTTGGCGGATGTATGGGCTTCTGAATAGTTGTTCAGGTAGAAATCTTGGAATACTCCCCAGGACCAGATATAACTGTGAACGAAGATCAGTATCAGGTACTTCACAAAGTCATGCTATCACATTGGGTACTAACCCAAAGGTAGTGAACTGAATGAGCCAGCTGTGAAGGTAGTTAGTCAAGGAGCGTCACAACACTAAATATAACCAACTCACGCTCCGGCAACCGTGGTCCACGAAAGGACAAATGCCTCAAAGAGCTCCTTTTCGATGGCCTCCAATGACTGGGACTCGAGGTCGGGTTGCACAGAGGGGATGCGAGACCTCCGACGTTGCAGCTGGGTGGCGAACCAAAGTTTGATGCGGTCTATCAGCCTAGTTAAGGGAGTGAGGGACAAGGGCACAACAGATGAAAGGGGAACTCACTCTTGGATCCTTTCCGTCAGAGTCTTTGGGGGCTGTTCTTCCACCTGTTTGTCATCGTCGACCTTCTCGTCACCTGGGACATCGATTGTAATGTCCCGAGCCGAACGCTGCGGTGTTTCGGGACTGTCGTACCCCTCAGAGACTTCTCCACGATCGAAATGAGTTTGGTGGGAAGGGGTCCGATACTCATAGAAGCCGTGCTGTCTAGTGTCGACCTTTGCGGATAAGGGCTTCTCTGAAGGAGGAGGAATCGGCGAATACGCTGGCGACGGGTACGCATCTTGGTCAAACTCCGTCCTTGCCGCTGACCTGGGAGAGAGAACGGAGGTCTTGACTTTATTGAAGGAGTCAAAGAAACCATAAGTGCGTTTCGCGCTGCCGTTGGCGCTACCCTTTCCAGGAGCGCTGTCCGGTGCAGCAGGGGACCGCCCTTTCTCTCGTGGTGAGTCGCGGGGAGAGCCAAAGCGGGGAAAGCTGCCTCCTGGGTGAGCGGTATGGGGAACAGGTGCTTGTCGATACTTGGGCGAGCCTGGGGTACGGGGGCTATGACGAGAAGGGCCTCTGGGATGATATGCGCTTGTGGGGGTCTTCTCGCTTGGCCATTGAGAGGGAGATGGCCTGCCAGTGGGTGTTCGTGCTTGAGGCAGGAAGTACCCCGGTGGAACAGCCGACCTGGGCGACCTTGGGGGCTCATAGTATGGCGGCGGTGCATGTCCATAATGGGCGCCGTATCGCTTCTCTCGCCTCGAACTTCGGTGGTGCGACCGGGGATCTGGGAGTCTGAACTCGTACTGAGCCATACGAGGATCTGCAGTCCTGGGTGCATAGCGGTGGCGATCTGGGTGCTGCGGTGGGGGTATGGGCTGCGGTCGGTGTGTTCTATCCTGCCTTGGGGCTGGGGGCTGCTCAAAAGTAACAGTTCGCTGCTCTCGAGGATCCAGGAAAGGGTTCTTTGGGCTACTCGTTGGCTTGGGCTGATTGAAGCGGGACTCGATTGCAGATCGAACGTGCTGGATTCCGGATGTGGTATCGGCAACAGTACGAGATGAACCAGCATCTTCGTTAGCTCTGCCGCCAGGGAGAGCGGGCGATTTGAGGAAGTGGGAGGACGCGGAAGCCAACCAGGGCATAGTCATCGTCGTAGTACTGGGCCAACCAGGGCTGAGGCATCACCGTCCTCGCGCCGGCCACTACTTACATGGGCAAGCGAGGCTGTACGTGACAGCCATCATTCCAGTGCACTGGCGGTAACGGTCAATATCTTTATCAAAGCCAGATTCCCCCGGTGCATCTTGGGCGTTAATGGGTGTGGAAGACACTCTCGCCACTGGTATTGACGACTCGAATCTGGGAAATGTCCAGAGCCATGGTAGGTCGGGACAAGTGACAAACTGAGCCAAAACTGAGCTCGGGAGGCAAGTGGGACCCCGGGATCAATAGTAGGCAAGGCGGTCAGTTCGAACCTGGACGAAGGCGAATAATATTGTCGAATGTATAGGAATCAGGAGTTCCTACTGTGCGCCCATAACGCAGCCGCCCATAACAAAGGGAGGGAGTAAATTTCGACTCTACCAGTGGCACCCTGGGGAAGGTCAGAAGGAAACTGGCTATTTCTGAAGCAGTGCGCACGGACTGGCAGGGACTGGCCATGGCGATCGCTTTTGAAACACTGTCCAACCCTTTCTTCGGAGACAACTTCCCACCAAGATGCTGGCCTCTGGTGCTCGTCCATTTTGAGAAGACATGCAAAGACGGTTAGGCGCTCGTGTAAATGTAATCGGCGGAGTTTGAAAGTGACCTTCAAGTTGACGCCAAAAGAAGTTTCACAGTTGAAGGTTGGAGGCCGTACGGACGGTGACTGGTCGTGGTCCTAAACGACCTGGCAAATCATCTGCTAACTGTCAAAGCTAGGCGCTTGCTCTAAGGTCTACCGTAATCCAGGTAATGTCATTCGCCCAGACAAATCAAAGACTGTACATAGCAGTCAACGGGTTGATATGGCGATTCGCGAAACAGATAGTGCTAGGCTAAGGAAGGACGTCTTTCGACGATGTTTCGCGGCGCGTTTGGCAGTTGTTGAAGTAGGTCAAGTTGAGGTCTATAAAAGGGGTCAGGAATCGCTAGTGAACGCGTGATCATTATCATGCGGCTTCGTCGCGTCCTTGATGCGCCTGTGCAGAGTCTCATAAGGTGGAGAGGCTACAACTCAAGAATCAAACTGAATGAATGAGAACCAATCCATTGCAAGGGTATGATACGTGATGATCGATGTGGTATATAGAGAATTTTCGGAGGTATAGTAATTTAGAGGTTATGTAGCAATAATCAGACAACAATCACAATAGAACAGATCAAGCAGGCAGTACAAAGCACAAACACAGAACGTTGGAAACTGAAGGAGAGGATGCGAGTTGCGAGGGCAAGAGCTCACTCGGCGCTCTTCTTGGGCTCTTTGGGAAGCTTGTCGGTCATGGTTTCCTCAATGATATCGGGGAGGACTTCGTCGGTCGTGCTGCATTCGATCCGGACGTCGTAGAGTCTTCAGAGGCGTCTCTGTTGGCTGCGTCAGATCTCGTTTCCGGGATGAAAAATAACAAGTGAACGTACAGGGTCCCATCTAGACTTGACCACGATCGCAAAAGTGCCTTGTTGGATTTTGACGATGCCCATTCCTTCACGGTCCGCAGTGTTTTGGATGAACATGTTGGAATACAATGCACATGTCACATCTATTCCATTTACGGGTACAAGGATGCCCAATTATGTACGAACGTTTCATGTATCCTTATACGGACATTCTATTGTTCTCTGATCTCGGATATATTAAGTAGTTCTATTGTTCTCTTGTATCCCTTGTTCCCAATTCGGACATCTTATTGTTCTACCGTATATAGACATCCCTTTGTCCCCAGACGTATATAGGTAGTGACTGCAAGTGGGAGTTCCCCCATCGAACTCTTCCCCACTTGCAGGTATGTCCTCATTGTACTTGTTTATATCTGTACTAATATCATCGAACTCTTCCCCACTTGCAGTGGTACATCGTCTTACGTGTTTAATAGGTTATGAGCCCCGGGCATAACTGATTTATCAGTATTACTGCTCGCGCCGCCTGACAACTCACGACGATCTGTTCGATCACCTCGCCTACGGCTCCCCCTTTGCTCTCTCCAACGCGATGCCACCCCGTCATGGAATCACATCTCGGTACCTTTACTCGCGGACTTCACATTTCTCTAGGAACAGACCCTGAGCGTCGAGCGATCAAGTCAACGGAATGAACACCTTTTCTGGCATTTTAACGAAGGGCCATGCAAATGATATAAAACCCCTTTGCCGCCTCTTTCGTTTCTTGCCCATCGACCTCTACCATCCCAACCATCCCAAGTCGTTGAGCGCCTCTCCCCGTCCCAAACCACCTATCCACAATACCAAACCGTCTTACTCCAGTTACCTACAACTACTATGACATCCGCAACGAACCCTCCCGCGTTATCCACCATCTCCCTCGAGGAGCAGCCCGCTCAAGTACAGTTTCATTTTCTCCTCATGTTTCATCCACCCAAGCAGTCGCTCAACAAATTCTCCAGTACGGGAACGGCACTCGTGTCATGTTCTATTAAACACGTAAGACGATGTACCACTGCAAGTGGGGAAGAGTTCGATGATATTAGTACAGATATAAACAAGTACAATGAGGACATACCTGCAAGTGGGGAAGAGTTCGATGGGGGAACTCCCACTTGCAGTCACTACCTATATACGTCTGGGGACAAAGGGATGTCTATATACGGTAGAACAATAAGATGTCCGAATTGGGAACAAGGGATACAAGAGAACAATAGAACTACTTAATATATCCGAGATCAGAGAACAATAGAATGTCCGTATAAGGATACATGAAACGTTCGTACATAATTGGGCATCCTTGTACCCGTAAATGGAATAGATGTGACATGTGCATTGTATTCCAACACACCCCCTCAATGTAATGTCACTAGATAATTACACAAGTCCCAGTGCGATTCGATGACGTTCAACATCTTCTCGATGGAGTGGTTTTGTTAGAATGTCGGCGACCATGTCTTTCGTTGGGCAGAAATGGATCTCGATCTCCCTGCGCTTGATCTCTTGTCTGATCCAGTGCATCTTGATGTCGATGTGCTTCATTTTGCTGTGATGCTCTGGGTTTCTAAGGACTTTAATTGCTGACTGGTTGTCTACCATCATCGGTGAAGGTTTATCGAGTGAGAACCCAATTTCCCTCAGCAAGTTCCGTAGCCATATAATTTCTCGTCCTGCTGATGATGCAGAGACATATTCGCTTTCAGTGAAAGAGTTGGCCACAGTGCTGCTTTTCTTGGCAGACCAGCTGATGGCTCCTGTTCCCATCTTGATGACGAATCCACTTGTTGATCGTCTCGTGTCGAGGCATCCTGCATAATCGGCATCACTGAATGTGTGGAAGAGTTCAGAGGCGAGTTGGGGGTTGTTGTCCATGCGATATGTGAGTTTGAGATCCATGGTGCCCTTGAGGTAGCGGAAGACGTGTTTGACGGCTGTCCAATGTGTCATTCCGGGGTTTGAATTGAATTGTGCTAGCTTTGCCACAGCGAAAGCAATGTCAGGTCGAGTGCCGATTGCGAGATACATGAGTGCTCCCACAGCGTTCATGTAAGGAATGTTCCGCATCTCTTCTCGTTCCTCTTCTGTCTTGGGACACTGATCTTTGCTTAGGCGGACGCTTGGGTTCATCGGCGTTTTGACCGTGTTAGCCGCATCGAGGCGGAAACGGACGAGCATGTCCTGGATGTACTGCTTCTGTGATAGTTGCAGTGTCCGTTTCTCTCGATCGTAATCAACCTTAATTCCCAGAAGGTAGGATGTTGGTCCAAGGTCTTTCAGTTTGAACACCTTTGCCAAGGCGTCCTTGACCCATTGTATCTTCTTCTGGTCTTTCGAGATGATTGTGATGTCGTCGACGAAGACGGGCAGGGTGACTCGGATGCCGTCTAATTCCCAAATGTAGACACTGGGATCGGACTTCAGTTGTTTGAATCCGAGTCGTTCGAGTTCCTCTGCCAGTTTCTCGTACCAGAGTCGACCACTCTGCTTCAGCCCATACAGTCCCTTCTTGAGGGCGGCAAACCCATCGTCCCCCATTTTGGTTGGGGACTTCGAATCCCTCTGGCTGGACCATGTATACTTCGTATTCATCTTCAATTTCTCCATTGAGGTATGCATTGGAGATATCGATGGATTCGATGAATTCACCGTTCATGGCAGCTTGTGCGAGGATTGCTCTGATGGTGGCAAGGCGGGAGGTTGGAGCGAAGACTTGGTCATAGTCGATTCCTGGTGCTTGGGCAAATCCTTTAGCGACGAGGCGTGCTTTGTACCGGTCAATAGTGCCATCAGACTTTCGCTTGATCAGGGAAGACCCAGCGTGATCCAATTGCTTTGCGTCCTTGTGGGAGTTGGACGAGTTCCCAGGTGCCGTTGGCAATGAGGGCATCAATTTCCGCTCGAGCAGCACTGATCCACTTGTCTCTGTCTGGTCGGGCCATTGCTTCCTTCCAGTTGCGTGGCGAGTCCTCTGGTCGTGTGGCCGCTCCGAGTGCTTTTTCCTTCACCTTGTCGAGAACCATTTCGAGTGCCATTTCACATGCTTCAGCCATCGTGAGGTACTCTCCACTCATCCCGTAGACGTGCAGGATGGAGTCGAGGACTGGGTGTTGCTTTGAAAGCTGAGTGGAAGTCGGGTTCGTCCTCCTCATTAATGTCGTCGGCTGTGATAGGTGGTAGATTATCCTCTCTTGCACCCCCTTGATCTACTACCTGATCACCCCCTTGGTCCTGGTTCGGTGGATGACCATTTTCCTCTGCTGTTCGTCTTGGGGCAGGCGCAGTGCCCCTGCGTGAGTGTCCAGCTAAGGTGTAGTAATCCGTGACTCTTGCCGTGGAACGTATCGGACGAGGGTTTTGGGATGGCTGTGGAGGTGGTTTTGGCTTGGTTGCTCTTCCCTGTCCAAAGTTCGGTGCAGGGAGTGGAGCGGGATTCTCTACCAGTGGTTCTGGTGACGATGGTGGGACAGGTGGTTGCGATTGGCCTTGTGGTGTGGGTGAGGCTTCCTCTTCTCGATGATAAGGT